CTCTGACCCACAAGGCAGGGACCCGAGGGGATGCCCTCTGCCACGGCCTGTGGGAAAAGAAGGGAATGGATTCTCCCCCCCACCACACACACCCCAGCCAGTAGCCCTGACCCGCTGCAGTGGCCACACCTTCTGGCCTGGCATGCACTGCTTGGAAGAGTCCTCCTGGAAAAGCTGGGCTGAGGGCACCCTGTTTCTGCCAAGGCCAATGCCTGCCCTGGGGTGGGAGTCTGTAGGGAAGAATTGTGACTGGGATACTCACAGGGCACTCTCGGGGAATGCTTCCACCCTTGGCTCAAGGACAGACCAACAACCAGAGTAGCCAAGTGTGGGCTGAAACTGTGCCACCCGGACCCATTTGCTCAAGTAGTCCCTAACCCAATCCTCATACCTTACAACACACACACACACACACACACACACACACACACACACACACACAATTTTCCTTGCCACCAGGCCTGGTCTCAGTGGGGGTTCATCCCCAACTCCCACCAGGTTTGCCCGGCTGGACACCTAAAGGCCTCTTGGTTGGACACCCTGATCCCTGCGGTGGACAGTGGAAGCAGAATCCGACTCTGCGATATCTTACTTCTACCATCAACAGCCCAATTTCTCCATGTGCAGCTATGGCTGCCCCATCAAGGAGAAAACAAGAGTAAAAACACATCCCAACCTGTGGCTTTTCAGAGTTTCCTGAGAGGACCCTCAGCGCTCCAGACTTGCACCAATCTCTGGTTGTGGGACCATCCACAGGGCCAATGCGCCATTCTGCTCCCTCCTAGGAATCACTCCTTACCGCCCCACCCCCCAATAGATCTTTGCAGCCAGGAGGAAACTCATCTGGGTGGCCAACAACTTGCTATGACACAAGGGGGGCGCTGTCCAAGATGACCGTGCCTGTCCCTGTAGAACGGAGGGACTTGGTGCATGGGGCGTCCACTTGAGCTCCCGAAAGGGGGCGCCCAGGTGAAAGGAAACAGTGCCCACCACCCACTGCAGTGGGCCCCCGAGGAAGCCCATCCAGACTCATGCTGTATGCCACAAATGGAGCCCTGGAGGCGGGGATGCCCAAGTTTCATCTGGACATTTCCTGCCTGCCTTTCCACTTTGCAGGCCCAGGGTCACAGGATAACCACTCTCCCCATCATTGCTGCCCACTTTTGTCCTCTCTGCTTTGGTACACCACCCGCCACACCTCTTTGCCGCTCTAATATCCTTGACCCCTGGTGGGCATTCCAGGGTGTTGGGAGGTGGGAGAGACAGCCTGCAGGCCAGCTCCCTGACCCTGGGGTGCCCATTTCCTTCCTGTCTGCTCAGGGTAACCCACCCAAATTCCATGACCGTCGGAGATCCCAGGGGACACCCTAATGCCATTACCTCTCCCAACCCCCCACCAGTACCACACACCTCCACTGAGACCCCAGCAGACTTTCTCCAACCCCATGGGATAGAGGCACTCACCTCAGAGCCACTAGCCTTATCCACTCAGCCACCAGGCCCCAGGGATGTAAGGGGTGGGAGGGGGCTTAGGGGGTTGGGTCGCTGGGGATGGGCCAGTGGGGTCCCTGGGGATGGCCCGGAGCCTGGGTGGCAGTTTGTATTCCTGGGGTTTACGGTTTGAGTGGGGGTTACCCGGCTGGTCTGAGGACCCTATCCACCCTCCCCACTGCCTGAAAGCACATGTTCCCTTCCTAAGCCAGAAACGGATAAGGGGCATCCTGCACTGGTCACCAGGCAAGTACCCCTGGGATCCCTTAGACTCCTCAGGAAGGGAGTAATCTGGATCTCTCACATAGGGAGCCTCCTTGGGACTCCTGAGCCTGGGCCTCCTGTGTGGCACCTGCAAGCCACAATCAATGACTGCCTCTGTGGGCTGCCTCCTGTGGCACTTGCATAGCCCCTGGAGGCGACAAGGCACCTTCCTCCTGGCTTCTGCCTKGCCTCCAGAGCTGGAGGGACCTCTCAGGGAGGTCTTCTCTTCCCCTGCTCTTAGCCCAGTATATGCTCCCCTTGTAGTTGCGGTCCTGAGTGTCCTTTCCCCACCTGCCAGTGTCAAGATGGCACCCGCCATACTGGCGGGAAGGCAAATGAATTCCTCTTGATGGCAGTGTTGCTCCACGAATGCCAACTGCACTCCCTCCACCCTTCGCTGAGTACAAAATGCTAACTGGTGTCCAAGGGGACACCAACATTGACTCTAACATACAGTAGGCTCTGTCATCTTAGGTCTTCTTGTTAAACTAAAACCCCACCCCACACCTTCTTCTTCCTGTCTTTAGTCCAGGTCTCAGGCCTGCAAGACCTGGTCCCTGGACATTGTTTTCTTTACCTATCTCAGGGAATAGATGGAAAAGCTTTCCTCGCAGAAATCCCAGGTAGTGCGTTAGGGTTGAGCCTCCCTGGCTCCACCTTCTGGCTCTTGCTTCTTGGAAGGGCACATAATGTATGCATAAGCCAGAGTCTGCCCACCCAAATACATTGTGACTGGAATCTTCCATTGTTCAGTTGGTCCTATTTGCTTTAGCATCTTTGTCATCCTATAGTCCCATTGGGCATGTAAACAGTGTTCTCACATGCTTTTCTTTTCCCTTTGCTCTGTCATTTTCATACTAGTGTGGGTCAGAGTCATGTTCTACACCAAGAGCACTATTCTTTTTGATATTTGACCATTAGTCAATCATTCCACAACCTATATCAAAATTTATGTAGTGTAAAATACTTGTGTCCATGTGATTTTAAGGGTTTTTTTTTTGGTTGTTATTTTTTCTTGAAAGGGAATGATATCTCAAGATATTACAGCTCTTTCAAATTACTTTGTATATCATAAGAAAGTGAAGGCTGGGTGTGCTGGGGACACCTTTGATTTCAGGTACTGTGAAGGCTTAGGCAGGAAGATTGAAAATTTATGGCTAATGTGGGTAAGTTACTAAGACCTTGTCTCCAAATTTAAAATTTTCAAAAAGGCGGGGGCTGTAGCTTAATGGTAAAGTACTTCGGGACATATTCCCATCAAATAAGTAAATAAATAAATAAACATAATAATTATAATAAAAATAAAAATAATTAAGGTAGAGTGAGAGAGCTATAGTGAGGAGGCATGGAGATATTGGTTTCATCTGATAGGCATGTGCACGTATCCTTTAGCACAAGCTCACTGTTCATATTCAACATTGTCCTCCCATTTTCACTGGCTTGATGAAGGGTCAGAGTATAGGGAGCTTGGAGTAAATATCAATAAGGAGGAAAAGAGGAAAAAGCAGAGTTGGGAGAGGTGCTGTACTCAACAGTAGTAATGCAACAATTGGAACAACGTGATTCCCCTCCCTGGTCTGTCACAGTGAATCTGCAAAGGTCCACTCTGTGGTAGATATTCTCATGGGGACCTAGGCCCAATTCTTTGACATTCTCTCCTGCACAACAATATGCTGATCTCACATTCTTGGGACTGATCTCAATAAACTTAGGTAGTCACACATTGCCTCGATTATCATCCATGTGACTCCAAATTTGATTCCCTCCATTTGGACCTCACTAAAGGGCCTTTTCTAGCACATATATTGGAATGTACAGAATAAGATTCCATTGTCCCTATTAATGGAATCCACATACTTTATCAATCTGTCCTTCTTCAGGGGAATGAACCACTGATGTTTTCATATGATCAAATAGACTCCTTTTGCAAAATAAAGGAAGAAATCAAAGAGCACTCACCCATAATGTCAGCATCTGAAGATGACCTGTATCCCAGTGGATTCCTTTCTCTCCCTGTACTGTTTACCCTGGAAGAGACATTGTATAATTCACCAAAGTATTAGGGAAACTGAGTTTGTTGTGGGCATATTTTGGGGCTTTGTGACATCATTCCAAACAGCATATTTATATTTTCATTTATTTATTTAGGTGTTGGTCATCACACTCAGGACCTTGTACATGTTAAACACATGCTCTACCACTGAACTGAAAATCCAGAAGTGTCTCTTTTTAATTATTTTTTATTAAGATGCAATTTTTAAATTTTTTTAACATTTATTTTTTAGTTGTAACTGGATACAATATCTTTATTTTATTTATTTATTTTTAGGTGGTGCTGAGGATGGAACCCAGGGCCTTGCACGTGCTAGGCGAGTGCTGACCCGCTGAGCCACAATCCCAGCCCCAAGACATAATATTTGTATGTGTTTATAGGATTCAGTAAAATAATTCAACAAGTATGTAATGTGTAATGATCAAAGTCAGGTCTTGACCTTTCTTTCTTTTTTTTTTTTTTTTTTTTTGAGGAAAAGTGTAGTTTTTTTTAATGCAAGGTATAGAATTAAACCTAATCTTGAATTACACTATAGTTAAGTGGAGATATGGAATTCAAGTATAGCCAACTCTTAGGTCTTGACCTTTCTTGATTCTCAGTTCACTGTACAAGCTTTGGCCTGAGACCTAGAGAGCTGGAGTGAATGGAAACCAAGAGCTGTTCCTGCTTATTGCCTGTTCCTGCTCCTGGGGGAATGTGGCCAACAACGGAGATTTCTCTGAAGACAATGGGCCAGACGGTGGCTGCAATTGAGTATTGGGATCTGGAATGCTAAGAAGAGGCCTTGCTGGAGTCCAGTAACTCAGGGAGATGTCCCTGGAGCTTGTGAATGAGCATGAGACAACATGTCCAAAGCCCTATAACTGGACTCCTTGGCAGAGTCTTCTGCTAATGCTACTCACAGGGGAGCCCCTTCAAAGGAGTCATGATCAAATAAAGTTCTGATCCCTGTTTTATCCAGGACCCTGACTTTTGCCACCATCCTATTGCTCCCCAGGAAGCTACCTCAGGGAAGTAAGTCTGAGATTACTACAGAAGATCCTCTTGATGGCAATATTGCACCACAAATGACAACATGCCCTCCATGTCCTCTCCTATATCTTTTTCCTGTAACATTTTCCACTAAAAATAAATAAACAAATAAAGCAAGCAAGCCAACCAGTGTTCATCTTGGCTAAAAACTAAATGGCATTTACCAGATCTCTCATCTGGCCTTCCATGCTGCAAGCCTCTTCCCTGGATGGTAGTCTTAGGTTTCCTCCACTGGATCACAAATGTCCATTAAGTTAACTTAAGAATGTACCTAAACACATCCAACCACATTTCTTTAGCATGGAGGTTGATTCAGACCACAGGAAAGTCCTTGATTCTGGACACAGAGGTGGAATCAAATCTACCTACCACCTGTAGGGACCCTTCTGACTTGGGCATTTTCACAAATTGCTCCAAGTTTAGCTGGACCATAATATCACTTACTTATATGGAGCCACCAGGTTTTCCTCCTGTCCTAAGGACTCTTAACATGGAAATATCAATGAGAGTGGCCTTCTCAGATGCCTATACTTAAGCTAAGGCTTCATTCCTGCTGTCTTCTTACATGATGTGTCCCTTATCCATTTCTGCTGCATTACAATGGTCTACTCCTTCACAGGGTTGCTCTTGAATGCTTAACTAGGCCTTGCTTGGCTCCATGAGGAAAGAAGAGAAGCAATGGCTCAAGAATAAGCAGGGAAACTCAGAGACTCATCCCATCTTAAGCTATGAGTCAATGTCCCTGTGAAAGTAACAATACTACCCAAGACACTGGACCACAGGATACCCACAAGCCAGCCAAGACAATTGAGGAATAGTGAACATAATATTCAGACTTAAAAATCAAGACAATCTGAGGTAGCAATGCATAAGAGATAAATCTATTCCTTTTAGTGTTACCATACAGATTTATATTCCCCATGGAGAGCTTGAGAAGAAAGTATACAATGTTACCTAGCAACAGAGTAAACTCTATTTCTCAGACTAGGTTTTCTTTTGGATCTACATTGGCATGTTTTTCAGCTACAAAGAACAGAGGGAAAGACATGAAAACAAGGGTGACTGGCATTTCTAGAGCAACACTGCCATCAAGTGGAAGCTTTTAGCATGTTGCTTCCACCTCCTCCTCAAGTGTTCAGTGGGGAAAGCCTCTAATATAAGCAAAGGTAGATTGGGGCATTCAGAGAATTCTGGGACAGGCTCTTGCTTCTACACCACTTACCTCAGAGTCAGTATAGAAGCCACAGAGGTAGGCCTGCTCCCCAAGGACTGTGGGGTGACCAAGGCCTATCAGGCTCAGGAAGTGATAAAGGCCAGGCCTTGGTGGCTGCCATGTTTAACAACCATGAGACAAAACTACTTCAGGGCATTTGACTCCTTGATCCCTGGGCTTACAGCAGGAGCAAGGTTAACCAGTATGAGCCCTGTCCTAGTGTTATCAGAGCAGCAGGGAACCTGGAATCCAACATCCAGACAAGGAAAAGAAAAGCAGGGGTGGCCACCCTGTCAGGGGTAGCCTATTGTGGAGAGAATAAAGACTTCCTGATTATTGAGTACTAGTTTGAGACAAAGAAGAATAAGGCAGGGCTGGGGATGTGGCTCAAGTGGTAGAGCGCTCGCCTGGCATGTGTGCGGCCCAGGTTCCATCCTTAGCACCACATACAAATAAAGATGTTGTGTCTGCCAAAAACTAAAAAATAAATATTAAAAAATTCTCTCTCTCTCTCTCTCTCTAAAAAAAAAAAAGAAGAAGAATAAGGCAGATGCATTATAATTCAAGTTTTGTCTGCTTGTTCTTATTCCCTTCAAAGAAAGTCTGGGTCAGACTCCAAGGGATGCCATTCTGCACCTCTGCCACAGAGGAGAAAGGGCTCCCTACCAAGTCACCCTAAGAATGAGCCTAAACATATCCAAGCACAGCTTTATCTGTACCACTGGAGGTTGGGTGAGACCATAGTACCAACTTCAAGAAAAGATGAGTCTCCAAGAATGAGCCCAAGTAGCTAACTGGGCCTAATGTTCAAAATGGAGCCTGGTAGCCATTTGTTGACTGTGGAGTCACATAGTACTTTGTGTTTCTACAAGGACCATTAGATAAACATGTGGCCTTTGCCTGGCCATGTTCCCATACCACTTGCAAAGATAAATAGCCTCTGGACCTGACCAATGAACTACATCTGCATTTATAGTAATATGTAAATGTTAACCAATCAGGAATGGGTTTAGTTACTTACCTATTTACATAAAACAAACCAATCAGGATTTAGCACAATTTTATCCTTTGTGTGCATAAGCCAACTAGAGTATGTACCTGGTTATTATATAGGTGGAACTTCATCTATATAAGCTAGCCACTTTGCTTTATTATCTAAGGCTGCCTCTCCCCATTTACAAACTGTTTTCTGTTAAAAATGTAAAATAAAATGTCTCTTTTTATTTTTTATCTTAAGCATTTTCCCTAGTGAGTTTTTTTTTTTAAAGAGAGAGTGAGAGAGGAGAGAGAGAGAGAGAGAGAGAATTTTTATTTACTTTTTAGTTCTCGGCAGACACAACATCTTTGTTGGTATGTGGTGCTGAGAATCGAACCCGGGCCGCACGCATGCCAGGCGAGCGCGCTACCGCTGAGCCACATCTCCAGCCCGTGAGTTTTTGTTGATAGTAAGTTTAATAACTTGATGCTGGGTACAAAGTTAGAACCAAGCTACCAACTGTCTCCCAAGGAACCTTCTGAATTGGGCATTCTCAGGAGTCACTGAAAGGCCTGCTTGACTATGAGGTCTCAGGCAGTCAGAAACAAAGGGCAGAGTGCCAGAGATATCAGGAATGGTGTAAAAGCAGATGAGAAACTGCCATTCCAAGAAAATGGGAGCACATGGCTCCTCTCCCATTGCTGTCTCCTGGTTTTCAAATACTATTGGTCCCACACTTAAGACCAGTCAGAAGAGAAGCCAGGGGGCACACTAGAGTCATGGGTCCTTGCATCTGACCCAGGTTCAATCAGTCATCTTCCATCAGAAGGCCTATAGTAGAAAACATGTAAGATGTATTGTGCTTCTGAGGACTCTAGTGTTTTAAAATGAAGTGATACATCAAAACATTACACTTCTTGGCCAGGTGTGGTGGTGCACACCTGTAATCCCAGTGGCTTGGGAGGCTGAGACAGGAGAATCACAAGTTCAAAGCCAGCCTCAGCAATAGCGAGGTACTAAGCAACTCAATAAGACCCTGTCTCTAAATAAATACAAAATTGGGCTGGGGATGAGGCTCAAGGGCCATGTGTCCCTGAGTTTAGTCCCCAGTACTTCCCCCGACCACAAAAATAAATAACTAAATAACTAAATAAAACACTACTCTTCTCTAAGTTCCCTGGTACATCAGAGATAGATTAAGGGCCATGGAAGAGATTGGCCTTAGGCTGTACAAGTGAATGAATATTGCCATCTTCAGTAAAGCATCCTCGTAAAAATCTAGCAAGAGCAAGCTCCCCATCCTGACTGATCTGGTGGATGGCCACAGTACAGAGAGCTGTATCAAACAGAGATCACAATATGATAGATGGCATAGGCATAGTGGGAAGGGAGCTACAGTCAATGTCAGAAAGGCAAAGGCCCAAAAGATCTGGCTCTCCTCCTGGGATGTCTGTTCTTTGTTTCTTGGGCATGCGGGGCACAGTCTTCTCTTTCCCAGGTTCAGGTAGGGAGCTCAAGTGTTCTTTCAGTAGTACATGGCCCCACTGGACCCAGGCACAAACCTTTTCCTCTCCCCACTACACTGTAGAACACATGTCTTAAGTTTCAGGGACTGATTCCAATCCCTTTAGGTGGACACGCATTCCCTGGATAATCATCCACGTGTCTCCTACTTTGGGTCTCACCACAGGGACCTCACTCAAGGGTCTTTTTAAATTAAACATGGCTGAAAATTCTGGAAGACAATACTATTGCCCCTATGCCAGAAATCTACCTACCCTGGCAGTGTCTCCTTGCCAAGGAGCACTGACATACCATAATAATTACAGTTTTTGTAGGATAAAATTGACAATTTTTTAAAGCAGAAGGAAGAGAACAAAGATAACTCACCATAATACCAGCACCTAGCAATGATCCAGGATCACAGTGGCCCTTTCTCTCTGTGTGCTATTCAACCTGCAACAAGACACCAGAATGTCCTTCACTTCATTTGGGACCACTAAAGTGATGATCAAAAGGTGGCATGGTACATCCCATCCAGCCAACCTAGAAAGTGTTTTCAGGCTACCATGTTGGTTTTGGGGTCAATTGTGATTTTTGAGGAAAGCATAGCAAGAAATCAAATCTATTCAACTTTGGGAATTTGTATGGATGCAACTTGGGGTTGTTTTTAAAAAAGATGCAGCACAAATAAAATAGTACTTTGTAGAGCCAGATGATACACTGTCCTATGATCTCATTTCTGTTGGGAACCAAAGCCATCTCCTTGGGTATATCCTTAGAGAGCTTCACTCCTCATCTCTGTATTTATATGATTACAGTTGACTAGCTATAAGAATATTATCACAAACCTGTTTCCTCCACCACCCTAAAATGGAGAACCAGCCCTCTACTGACCAGCAACTTATCTGGCTCATGTGTAGATGAAAGAAACCAGATATCTCCATTCTGGGTGCACAAAGATCTGCTGTACTGACTTTCTATGTAAGGGTGAACATGCAAGGATTGGCTATGTCTCATTCTACCAGGCCACTCATTTCTAGTTGGACAAGGACACTATGCCCATTGCACACACACTTTGTACACAACCTCACAACTAGTTGTATTTCTAAAAAACAGAGGAGGGAAAGTTGCATGTGATGGTGCACACTTGTAATTCCAGCAACTCAACAGGTTGAGGCAGGAGGATCACAAGTTCAAAGCCAGCCTCAGCAAGCTAGTGAGACCCTATCTGAACATAAAAAATTAGAGAGAGAAGAAAAAGAGAAATTTAATGTCCAGAGAATTGGGACACCATAAATACACAATGTTCCCAACCCCAGGAAAAGACATGGGCACCTTGTGCAGTTGTTGGAGGGGAAATGGAAAGGATCAGTAGGATGCTGCACAGATATGTAACAGCCAGGAGACAATTATTTTATGAAAACACTGAAATATAACATTCTATTTGTGAGCTTTGTGGGATCAAAGAGAAGGGCAAAAGTAGACATACCTCTATATTTGTTTATGGAAAATTATATCTGGTCTCATAATATGCAGGAGGGCTGGGAGACAAAGAGACAACATGAGAACAGTAACACTACAATGTTATGGGCTATCACTTTCATTGGGAGCAATCTCTATCCATAGTGGCATCTCTAAAGTGGTTGTAGGAGAAAAGAAATGAGAATATGCATACACACACACACGAAGGTAAGTGTGTATGTATACATTTGTGTATGCATTCATGTATGAAGGACCAAATACTGGGGTGTGTAAGTAGAGAACACAATAGGTTGCACATACAGCTTCCTAGAATGGGCAGAAGAGAGGCTTTGAGGGAAAAATAAAGGGAAAGTTCAGGTTTTTTCATCCTACCTCAAGTAACCATTGGACCCAAGATGACCTATCAAACCCTTGAAATAACTGCAATTGTACCCCGCAAAATGGCTCTTTTAACATATTTGGATTTAAATCCCCAAGGAGGCTAGGTATGATGGCATATGCCTGTAATCCCAGAGACAGCAGGATCGCTGGTTCAAAGCCAGCCTCATCAACCTCGAGGCACCAAGCAGCTCAGTGAGACCCTGTCTCTAAATAAAATACAAAATAGGGCTGGGGATGTGGCTCAGTGGTCAAGTGTCCCTGGGTTTAATCCCTAGTAACCCCCCCCCCCAACCCCCCAAGGAGATGATGTAGTGATTTATATATAGATGCACTTATTCCTTCAGATATTTCTTCATAGACATTTTTGCTTCCCTCAGAGAGTCTGAGAGGAAAGGACACTACCTCTTCTGGTACCCAACAACTTAAGAGGCAATTCTAGGGCTTGGATGGCTTTTGGGCCTGCCTTTATCTTTTTTTCATCTGCAAAGGGTGGAGTGAGAAGAGCAGAAAGCCAGGGTGGTTGGCATTTTTGAAGCAATAGTGCCATCAAGTGGAAACTTTATGAGCACAGTTTCCAGAACTTTGTTTCCAGAAGAAAAGTTTTCTGATATGAGAAAGGGTAGGTTTGATGTATGCAGGGAATTCTGGGACTGGCCCCAACCAACTCACTGAGTAACTTCAGAGTCACCATGAAAGCCATGAAGTCACACTGACCCACTAAAGAATTCTCAGCAGTTGGGCTTGCCAGGCTCTGGAGGAGGTGGGGTGACAGGTCTAGGTGACTGCCATGTTTGGCAATGAGAAACAAGGCTACTACAGGGCATTTGGCTCCTTGATCCTTGTCCTTGGTATAGAATAGAAGTCAGCCAGCAGGGCTGTGCTCTGGAGTCTCAGTATCTTGGGAAACCTGGGACTCAATTTTGCATCTAATAGAAGCAGGTCTAGCCAAGTAAAGGGGAAGCAAGAATGTCCACCTCATCAGGGGCATCCTCTTATAGAAAAGATGGAAACTATTGTTATGATTATAGAGTACAAGACTTAAAAAAACAAGAGTAGAGCAGGTGTATTACAGTTCAAGTTTCCTCTGCTTTAATCTAATTCAGGTCAAAGACAATCTGGGTTACACATCTTAATCATTCCACACATCTTTTCAAATATGGCAGGGGTGGCAACAATACCAACTAGGGACACATAATTCCAAAGGCACATCATTTTCCAGAATTTGGGGACCCAAGTCTGTTTTGTGCATGTGGTTATGGCTACTGAGTGTGTGACCCAGTTCTTCTCCTTAGGGAAGACACCTGGTTCACATACTCGGGGTGGGGGCAAGGGGCAGAGTTTATGATCTTTGAGTATGGCTATCCCACAGTGCAGCTCTAGATCAAAGAATGCACATAGAGGGGCTGGGGCTATAGCTCAGCGGTAGAGCACTTGCCTCCCACGTGTGAGGTACTGGGTTCAATCCTCAGCACCATATGAAATAAATAAATAAAGATATTTAAAAAAAGGAATGTACATAGAGACCACCATACTCACAACTTTGGGCTGGGACCTATAGATCTAAACTCTGCCCTGGGGCTTGTCAAATAAGGTTGGTCTGGCTCAGAAGGCTCTATACATTAAGATCACTTGACGACATTCTGAAAAGACAAGAGTATGAAATGAAGAGGGGACAGAGAGCACTTTTCAGCCTGTCTGAGAGAAAAGGAGAAAAGGAATACAGGGCTGGGCCTTTAGACTTGCCTTGGGAAAGCACCAACCAGGGAACACATCCTCAGTTAGGTAGGAGCTGACAAAGCACATATCTATACCAGATGTTCTCCAGAAATAGAAATCAGGGGTCCATAAGGAAGGGCTGTGTGCTCAGGAGTATGAATCTTGTTCCTACCCTTAGCAGACATGCCAGAATTATGGTAGATCTTGGAGAGATGGGTTAGGAAGATGGGAAGGAAAAGGGCTGGATGAATAGGGACGAACAGGGAAATACGACATACATAAGAAGGTAAGTAAGTGTGTGTATATACACATATGTGTGCATTCACCTGTGAGAGGATGAGTGAGTGTTTGAGTAGAGAATACAACCACTGTTCTAAATAGAGATGCAAAAGCAAAGGCTCTTGCTAAGTTTACCTGCTTCTCTGAGGCCACTGGGCCCTCCTCTTGACCCAAGAACCCCAAACATGGGGCAATTAATGGATAGCGAACTGCTGAGATCCATTAGAGGTGAGCCAGGACATCAATCTCTCTGTCTTCTCACTTGATTTGCCTCCAATTAGGGTCTTGCTTCTCTCTACTCCTGTGAAGTGCTGATGCTCTTCAGTCCTTAAGCAGGATGAGGTCACTGGTTAGGAATTGGTTAGATGAGGACAGAAGAAAAACAACAGCACAGCAATAAAAGGGAAAATCCAGGGACTCATCCCACCTTGAAGCATTAAGTCTATTTTCCCCATGAAAGCATTAGGACTTTATGCACAGTCACCTGATCCATATAATATCAATAGGTGAGCCGAGAAAACTGGGATGCTACGAACAAGACATTTGGACTGACATAAGGAGATGATATAGCAATGGTTTTCCAGGTACATCTATTTGTTTTGGTGTTTTCCCTTAGATATTAACATTCCCTATGGAAAGCCTGAAAAGGACACCATTTTGTAAGTATCTCACCTTAGTATTCCCAAATTTAGTGCCTAGATGGCTTTTTGGCCTGCATTCAAATTTTTGTCCACAAAGGATGGAGAGAGGGGCCTCAGGGCAAAGGTAGTTGGCATTTTTGAAGCAACAGTGTCATCAAATGGAAGGGTTTTGAGCACGGCTTCTAGCCTCTCTGTGTATTAGGTGTGGAAGGCCTCTGATATGAGGAAAGGTACGTTTCTAGCACTCAGAATTTGGGGACTGGCCTTAACCACTCCACCAGGATCCTCCACTGTCACTGTTGAAGCCATGGGGCTAGACTTTCTCACTGAGGAATCCTGTATGTTCAGGCCTAACAGGCTCAGGAGGAGGCAGGTGGGAGTGTGGAGACTGGAAGAGTTTGCGGAGTGTGGCAATGTTGACAGAAATGGTGGCTGCCAAGTATGGCAAAGGGAGCTGAACTACTGAAGGGCAGTTGGTTCCATGATCCTTGCCCTTGGTACAGAAGCAAGGTTGGCTAGTGGGGACCCTGCATGTGGGGTTTAGGACCACAAGCAACCCAGGACTCCATGTCACATCTGGAGGACCCAGGCCCAGCTAAGTAAAGGGGCATCAGGTTGTTACCCTGTTAGGGGCAGATTCTTACAGAGAAGATAGAAAGATGTCTTAATTGCTGGATACTAGATCAAGGCAAGGAAAAGTAAGGCAGGTACATTATGGTTCAACTTCTGTCAGCTTTACTCTTACATCAAAGAAAGTCTGGGTTATAGGCCTCAAGGGATGATCCTCTTCACATCTTCTCACATAGGATAAAGGGTACTGGAGATACCCATTTAGTATTGGTAAGTCCAGAGAAACATCATTCTCTGGAGTTGGAGAATCAGGTCTATTCTGGATGTATGCTTGTGATTTGAAATAGTCCAATAATGCCCTATTTCCCAATCTCTCAACATTGGATATAGTTCTTCTTATTGGGTAGTGTTTTAGTCAGTTTTTTTTTTTTTTTTTTTTTT